AGCAAAAGCGAGGCCCCATCTCTACTAAAAATAGAAAAAACTAGGCAGACGTTGTGGCAGGCACCTGTAGTCTGAGCTACTTGGGAGGCTGAGGCAGAAGGATTGTTTGAGCCCAAGAATTTGAGGTTGCTGTGAGCTATGATGCCACAGCACTCTACCCAGAGTAACAGAGTGAGACTGTCTCAAAATAAAAACAAAAACAAACAAAAAAATATCAAGCATCTGATTTTTATTTAGTGGTATCTATGAACATTGCCCATTTTAAATGGACTACAAGGCAATTTTGATTATAATCCATTATTTAACAGGAAGAGTTTCTAAGTGATTTCTTTAGTTAAGGGAAGAAAGTTTAAGGAGTCTTTAAGGAAGTAATAGACCTTGTCAATAAGCAAAGCAGATACTATACAAAGCTGATGAGCTGAGTATAATGAAGAATAACCCCCCTCCATATTCTCCTCAATGTAAGATGGTGGGACGTGCTCGGTGGAGTGCACTTGGAGCAAGATAATTCCTAGTACTTCCAAACTCCATTATTAAAAATAGAAGGAAAAAAACAGCTGTTTGGACAAACACCACTCAAGAGAAGCTTAAGCAATGAAGCCAATTATTGACTGTACTTGGGGGGAGCAGGAGTGGCCCTTAAACGTATGGCACTGAGGTTCTAATCAAGTGTTAAGACCCTCCCACCATCTCCTAGCTCTGATTCTCTCTCTCTGCAGATCCTCCTCTAATGTAAATGGCCTTTCCTCCAAGCAGTAGTGATGGAGGTAGAGGGAACTTTGTCCTGAGGAGGAAGGAAGGTCTCCATGTCACAGCTTCAGAATCTTCATTCAGAGTAGCCCTGGAAGTCATTCATTCTTGGCTAAATCAACTGTTACCTTCATAGCCTTGACCACAAATTATCTCATATATTTATTTGCCCACCTGATTATTGTTTTTCCTTCCCACTGCAAGGCGAAATCCATTAGAACAGGAACTGTTCCTATTTTGTTCATCACTGTAGCCCCAGTATCCAGCAGGTACTTAGGAAGTGGTGAGTGACAAATACATTCCAGGAAAGGACTCAGGTCCTTTTTGAGCCACTTGTCCTTACTGTGGTCTGGAAGGATAGGATGCTGAGATTGACAGACCTACTGGAATCTGAGAAAATAGAGAAATAACAGTTTTCCCCAGGAAACAGATGCTATTAGCTGAAAATTAGGGAAAGATGCCTAAAAAATTAGGGAAAGAGCAAGCAACAAATACCCGTCCACCGTATGTGTTTCTGTTCTTTAAGCATGGTTTGGTATTTCGCCCAGCTGCCCAGTCTGATATGTAAGATTCTGTGGATTCTGCATTGCGTGAGGGTGCTTGGTTGAGGAGAGGGAGTAGAGCTTAAAATTCAGCCCAAAGCTCCACTCACGGGGCTGCCTTTTTCCGGGAGGCACTCTGTTTTTAAACTTATGCACATTTGTATGGTCCCGATGTACAGTGATCCTGGTTGAGTACCTGTCTCTCCACCTAACCCAGAATAGCTTGTACTAAAGTAAGAATACTAGGAGACAGAGGATGAGCTGAATGCGTGTGTCTGCAGCCAACTCAGGGTGGAATGTGTGCTTACCCAAGTCTGGCAAGTATTCTAAGAGAGATGACAAGTTTGGGGAAATTCCCCCTTTTCTTTTCTTCCTCTTCATTTTCCTACTTGTGTTGCTAGTTAGTCACCCTTTCAAAGCACATATTTTGAGCTTTCTGCACTTTAGAAAGGGGCTGAATGGTGAAGGTGTCATCTTTCTTGTGTACTGACACTTCTCTGCATTTCCATTTTGATCATTTTGATCATTCTGCTTTAGGAGGAAGAAGTTGCCCATCACTGGTCTGTGGAAAAGACCTGTATTATAGCTCCTTCCCTTTGGAGTTGGGGTTTTTCTTTTTCTTTTTTTGTATTTTATTTCATTAAAGACCTCTGGAGGGGTAGCACCTGTGGCTCAGTGGGTAGAGCGCTGGCCTCACATACTGAGGCTGGCAAGTTTGAACCCGGCCCCAGCCAAACTGCAAAAAAAAAAAAAAATAGCCGGGTGTTGTGGCAGGTGCCTCTAGTCCCAGCCACTCGGGCGGCTGAGGCAGGAGATATGCCTAAGCCCAGGAGTTGGAGGTTGCTGTGAGCTGTGATGCCACGGTACTCTACTGAGGGCAATAAAATGAGACTCAGTCTCAAAAAAAAGACCTCTTGGGGGTGGCTTGGCACCCATAGCACAGTGGTTAAGGTGCCAGCCACAAAAACCAAGGCTGGCGGGTTCAACCTGGACCGGGCCAGCTAAACAACAATGATAACTACAATCAAAAAAATAGCTGGTCATTGTGGCGGACGCCTCTAGTCTCAGCTACCTGGGAGGCTGAGGCAAGAGAATCACTTAAGTCCAAGAGTTTGAAGTTGCTGTGAGCTGTGAGGCCAAGGCACTCTATCAAGGGGGAGATAGTGAGACTCTGTCTCAAAAAAAAAATAAAAGTCTCTTGGTGAAGGGATAAAGTGCTCACTATTTTGAAAAAAGGTAAATGAGGTGAAGGAACAGAAACTCACACGATCTAACTCATGTAAGGCTGCAGGGAATCTCGTAAGTTCCAGAGGCATAGCTGACCCTCTCATTACCTGAAAGGCTCTTAGGCACTATTCTGGCCAGTTCTTTCTGGGACTACTTGATTTCATTTTGGCCTCACTCTGGCCATTGATTCCATTCATCTTATTTTCATTAAACCCTAACTTTCTCTGTGTACTTGTCAGCCTGCAAGTGTCAAAAATGGCAGCTAGTACTTAACCTACTCATTGGATTCTCAGGGCAAATGCATGGAAAGTCTGCACCATAATCGTTTGGAGAAGTTTGTACAAAAAGGTTTATGGCCTCAAATTTACATCTTCTGAGTCCATAGGTCTGGGGTCCTGAAACCTGTATTTTTCTTTCTTTCTTTCTTCTTTTTTTCTTTTTTTTTTATTAAATCATAGTTGTGTACATTAATGCAATTATGGGGTACAATGTGCTGGTTTTATATACAGTTTGAAATAGAATCTATATTTTTAAAATGTCCTCCAGGGGGAATTCCCAGACCCCTCCATAATCGCAAGGGGGAGAAAAGTGAGTTAGTGACGGGAGCCGAGCCTGGCCTAGGACAGCTGATCTTCTGTGTGGTCCCCTTTTCTTCCCCTCTTGTCACTCCTTGCTATTGACCTTCCTATCCAATGCGGAGGCATTGAAAACAATCACTGAAGAATATAATAGGTTTCATTAAAAGCAGAAGTACTGATGACAACAATTCTTGGTCTCCCTTGGTAGGTAGGCAGTGCCATTAGAGAGTGGGGCCATCGATCCCTTATCAAATTAGTGCCAATTGTTTTTATCTTGGATAATCTTAGAAATCTGAGACAGGCCTGGGTGCTCCTGAGAAACACCTGGTCCTTTCGACCCATCATGATAGACGGCTTTGAAAGCCTCCCAGCTGTGGCAGCAGTTGTCCACATAATTAGGCTGTCTACCCGGACAGGTGGTGATGACTTTGCAGCTTCAGTGCTCGTTGCCCTTGGACCACATATTTCTGTGTCTTAGTTCAAAGCCTTTAGAGCAGTGTTTTTCATCCTTTTTTTAATCTCACGGAACACTTGAACCTATAGTTGAACTTCTGTAGCGTACTTAAATTATGCTGATCAAAAGAAAAAAAGACTGAAATAAAGAATATACTTACTGTGCTTTGAACTTCTTTCAAAATAATTTAATCAACCATCTTTAAAATTTTCCTGGCATACCTAAGACCCTCTCATGGCATACCAATGGCACACTGGTTGAAAATCACTATGTCAGAGAGAATCTAGTCACTGGCTGGCCATTTGGGAGCCTCCTCTGGGATTCTGGGCCAGAGTAGACTTTGAGAACCATGGGTGGACAGAGCAGGGCATTAAATAAATGCATTACAAGCTTCAAGCTTTCTTTTGGTTGGCTTGCAAAATGGAAGATGAAGTGAATTATCTGTAATCTCTTTTTAGTTTGGTTATTTCCTAGATAACAAAAGAATTATATTCCTAAATCAGTTATTATAAATCCTTTATTTTTTTTATTATGAATTTTTTTATGTGTTGGAACCACAAATAGGACTCCAACCTCATTTTTTATGTGAAATAAATGAGCTGGGGAGTATTCAGGATACCTACACCAAGTATTTTTGCAGTAAACATCATTGTCTCTTCATATTTTAGTAATAAAATGTATATTATATTAAGTTGCAAATTAAGTAATGTGGTTTATTATTTAATGTTTAAAGTACAGAGCCATTGGCTCAGCACCCATGCTCAGTGGTTAGGGTGCTGGCCGCATACACCGAAGCTTGCAGGTTTGAACCTGGCTCAGGCCTGCTAAACAACAATGACAACTACAACAACGACAACTACAACAACAATATCAACAAAAATAGCCAGGCATTAAGGCGGTGCCTGTAGTCTCAGCTGCTTGGGAGGCTGAAGCAAGAGAATCGCTTAAGCCCAAGAGTTTGAGGTTGTTGTGAGCTGTGACATCATAGGACTCTATTGAGGGCGACATAGTGAGACTGTCTTAAAATAAATAAATAAGTACAAAGCCACGTGCTTTATCTTTTGTTGTGCACTGGCAGTTTGTTGTCATACTTTGAGTTCTCTCTATAGTAATAAAAACCATTACTTAATAAATTTGTTCACTGTAGAACGTTAGAGGCAGTTGAAGACCTTACATGGGTATTGATTACATAAAGTATGCAAAGGTAAGAAACACTTTTAACTAAGTTTGAGCATAGAAAATGCTCAATAAATCAAGATTGAGAGCCATATGTTATTTGTGTACACAAAGCAGTTGTGTGTTACAAAACAATGTATTTTCAGCCCATAGGGTATGGTATCAGTACCATAGGGTTGGTTTAAGAGCATGTGTATTTTGTACCTTTGTGAGAATTTAGGTGTCAAGATAGTTCATCTGATTTTTACAAATTATTCAATTTTATTTTTCCAGATCCAACCCCTCTGTGGAATTTCTAAACATCTTTTACTGGTGGAAATATTTTCTATGCCATGAAGTCAACAACTTAATTTAAACCAGCACCTGTGTGGTTCTGATTCATCTGCTATGGTTCATGAAGTTTGAGGTCTGAGGAGTACAGGGTCCTTTGCAATGACAATATGACTAACAGTAAAGGGAAATCTATTACCAGTAAAACAAGCAGAGGTCTGAGTAGTGGAAGAGGTTTTATAGATTGGACTTTCAACTTAAATACAGTTCAATCTGATAAGTTTTTAAACTTGCTGTTGAGTATGGTTCCAGTAATTTATCAGAAAAACCAGGAAGACAGGCACAAAAAATCCAATGGCATCTGGCAGGATGGATTATCAACTGCAGCACAGACTTTCAGTAATCGATCTGAGCAGCACATAGAGTATCACAGTTTCTCCGAGCAGTCTTTTCACGGCAACAATGGGCACGCATCATCAAGCTGTAGCCAAAAGTACGATGACTATGCTAACTATAATTACTGTGATGGAAGGGAAACTTCCGAAACCACTGCCATGTTACAAGATGAAGATGTATCTAGTGATGGTGATGAAGATGTCATTGTGGAAACAAACCAGAAATTACCAAAGGAATCCAGTGGCATCATGGCACTGCAAATACTTGTACCATTTTTGCTGGCTGGTTTTGGAACCGTTTCAGCTGGCATGGTTTTGGATATAGTACAGGTGGGTTTTCATCTTTGTTTAACTCCGCTGTCTTTTTTGTGATGCCATTTCTGCTTAAAATGCTTTACGTGGGTTACTAATCTCAAACGCTTAACTTTAGATTTAGTTTAAATGAACAGATGCTGACTCTAGTAGAGAATCTGCTATTTCTTGCTGGGTTTTCTTTTTCTTTTTAAGTTCTAAAAGAATAATTATTCTGACCGTAAGGTAACACTTCCCCACAGACCCCCAAATAGGTTGGTTAATAGAAAAACCCAATAAATGTTATATTTAAATACTTATTTTTAAAATAAAAATGAACATATATTCATTACCATGAATTCAAACAATAAAAAGTATTAAATGAAAGGTGAAGGGTTTTTCTTATTTCTTATCTCCAAACCAAAGACCTGTTCCCTTCCTAGATTACCATTGTTATAGGTTGTTGTGTATAATTGCAGACTTTTTTTCCTAGACTTACATGTATACACATGTGAGAGGGTTTTTTTTTTTAAAAAAAGCTATATTTTTTGTAACTTATTTTCATTGCTTAATAGTACATCTTAGACATTTTTCCAAATTGGTACACAGAGATTTTCTGCATTTTAAAGTGAGTGGTTGAGGCTGGGCATGATGGCTCACGCCTGTAATCCTACCACATTGGGAGGCTAAGGCGGGTAGATCTCCTGAGCTCAGGAGTTCGAGACCAGCCTGAGTAAGAGTGAGACCCCATCTCTAAAAATAAGCAAGTTTTGTGGTGGGCATCTACTTCGGAGGCTACTTGGGAGGCTGAGGCACAAGGATTGCTTGAACCCAGGTATTTGAGGTTGCAGTGAGCTAGGATGATGCCCCAGCACTCTAGCCTGGGGCAACAGGGTGAGACTTTGTCTCTAAAAAAATGCGTGCTTGATAATTCCATTATAGTTACATACCAAAATTTACTTATTCTTCCATGCTTATGCTATAATAGATATTCTTATACATATATCTTTATATACTTATACTAATATTTTCATAGAATAGATTTAAAAACTAAAATGTTGGGTATTATAGTATGTATATGTATTTAAAATTTTATAGATATTCTTTTGCCTACCAAAAAGTTTATATCAATTTTTGCCCTTACTGTCAAAATAGAAGTACTTTTATTTTTTATGACCTTATCAACACTAGATACACTGGATAGTCTTCATTTTTTTTTTTTTAGGGACAGAGTCTCACTTTATCGCCCTCCTCCAACTCCTGGGCTTAGAGCATTCTCTTGCCTTAGCCTCCCGAGTAGCTGGGACTACAGGTGCCCGCCACAGCACCTAGTTATTTTTTTTGTGGCAGTTTGGCCAGGCTGGGTTTGAACCTGCCACCCTTGGTATATGGGGCTGGCACCCTACCCACTGAGCCACAGGCACCACCCTTTTTTTTTTTTTTGGAGACAGAACCTCAAGCTGTTGCCCTGGGTAGAGTGCTGTGGCATCACAGCTTACAGCAACCTCAAACTCCTGGGCTTAAGTGATTCTCTTACCTTAGCCTCGCAGGTAGCTGGGACTATAGGCGCCTGCCACAAAACCCAGCTATTTTTTAGTTGTAGTTGTCATTGTTGTTTGGCAGGCCTGGGCTGGATTTGAACCCGCCAGCTCTGGTGTATGTGGCTGGCACCTTAGCCGCTTGAGCTATAGGCACCGAGTGCGATACACTGGATATTCTTGATCTTTATCATTTTTGTCAAATGATAGGAAAATGTTATGATGTTTTAATTAACATTTTTATAACTAGTGTTTAGCATGTTTTTATATATTCATTGGACATTTTCTGTGGATTTTTTATTTCATCCATTTTTAAAATGTATATGCTACTTATTGATTTATAGGAGTGCTTAATGTATTATGGCTACAAAGCTACCTGATATGTAATTATCTTTCTAAAGTAGTGAATTGCCCAAATGTGGCATTCTGTTACTGTTTAAGAACTGCAGAACTGTTTTCAGAGTAGCTGTACCATTTTAAGCTCCCACCAGCAATGTGTGAGCGATATCATTTCTCTACTTGCTTTACTCCCATCTGATACTGTCACTATTATTTTTCTTTTTAAGAGAGAGTCTCACTTTATCACTCTCGGTAGAGTGCTATGGCGTCACAGCTCACAGCAACCTCCAGCTCTTGGGCTTAGGCGATTCTCTTGTCTCAGCGTAGCTAGGACTACAGGCGCCTGCCACAACACCCGCTATTTTTTTTTTAATGTCAGCATTTTTTATTTTAACCATTCTGATAGATACATAGTGAAATTTCATTGCGCTTTTCATTTGCACTTCTCTAACGGCTAATGATGTTGAACACCTTTTCATGGGTTTATCTGCCGTCTATAAATGTTTTTTAATGAACTGCTTCTTGGTGTCTTTTGCCAATTTTCTTAATTGGGCTTTTTACTTTTGAGTTTGGACTCGAAACATTTTACGTTTTGTAGTAGGGCCTTGTCACATAGGTGGTCTGCACATATTTCCCCCCACTCTTTAGCTTGTCTTTTTCATCTTTTTAACAACATCAGAGCAATAATTTTTCTGTTATAAAGTTCAACTTATCCATTTCTTTCTTTTACGGATCATGCTTTTGGTGTCAAGCCTAAGACTTCTTTGCCTAATCTTTCAGCTGATAGGATGATATTCTGGGCACCCTACTTGTGCCTCTGACTCCTCTAGCTGAAGTTTTGGGGCACCTCTGTATAGCCTCACAAGGAGGATGTCTAAGCTTCCCATGGGGACTTTGCTACCGTGGAGATGGGTGAGGCCAGTTTTTTCTGAGTGTTTAGCTAGAGTAGAAGAGCTACTGTCTGAGAGTAAGAAAGCAGCTTTTTTCTAAAGAAAGCAGCTTTTTGTTATTTCTTTTTTTTTTCCTAGTCTGTACCTGTTGGCATTTTCGAGTTGCCAGCTTCTTCAACTTCAAGTCTGGAATATAGGAAGCAAAAGAAAAAAACCCCAAGGAACCCACCACTGTTGTTTCTTGGGTCCTGAGGTCCCTAACTGGTCTGCTTTCTTCCCTTCACCTTTTGATTTTATTAAATGATATTTAAAAATCTGCCATCTATATATAACTATAATGTAAAATGTGCCACCAAAGATTAACCCGTAATTATTGCAGAGATTTCCATAAAGGAAATGGAATACTGTTCAGCCATAGAAAGAAGGTCATCATGTCATTTGCAGCAGTATGTTAAGTGAAAGAAGCCAAGGCACAGGCTCGGCGCCTATAGCTCAACGGGCTAGGGCGCCAGCCACGTACACCTAAGGTGGCGGGTTCGAATCCCCAGCCCGGACCCGCCAAACAACAATGACGGCTGCAACCAAAAAATAGCCGGGCGTTGTGGCGGGCGCCTGTGGTCCCAGCTACTTGGGAGGTGGAGGCAGGGGACTCGCTTGAGCCCAGGAGTTGGAGGTTGCTGTGAGCTGTGATGCCACGGCACTCTACCCAGGGGGACAGCTTGAGGCTCTGTCTCAAAAAAAAAAAAAAAAAAAAAAAAAAAAAGAAGCCAAGGCACAGAAAGACAAGTATTGCGTGTTCTCACTCATGGGTGGGAGCTAAAAAACGCTGATGTCACTTACGTAGAGAATCGAAGGATAGATATCAGAGGCTGGTAAGGGGATGTGGGCAGGGATAGGAGTGGGAACAGAGGTTGGTTCCTGGGTCCAAACACGCAGTTAGATAGAAGGATCTTTGATCTTTAATCTCACAGATGAAATTGTGTCACCTTTTAATTTGCTTTTACGGAATTATGAGTGAGCTTGGTCGTTTTGTCATATGTCTAAAAGTTAATGGGCTTGTTTTCTCGAAGTAATTTAAAACAACACAATTTCTCCAGATACAAAGATTTGGGGGTTGTATTCTTTTTTTCTTTGCAGAAACTTCTCTTACTGATTAAATTGATAAAACCATTTTCTGTTATTTTTAAGTTCCAACTCCATAGATATGTTGTCCAACTTGCTTGGTTATTATTTTTAAAATATTTTGTTTGTCCTTGTGAATATGAAATAGATTTTTAGGTTTGGAGTCTAGCATATATGGAAGCAATCTGACATTATGTTTGACAGGTTGGTGTTTACCTCAAATTCTGCATTACTGAGGAAAGAACCAGATTCTATAAGATAAGAGTTGATTAGGCAGCCATGGTAGCTCAGTAGGTAGGGCTCTGGCCACATACACCTAGGCTGGCTGGTTTAAACCCAACCTGGGCCAGCTAAACAACAATGACAACTGCAACCAAAAAATAGCTGGGTGTTGTAGCGGGCGCCTATAGTCCCGGCTACTTGGAAGGCTGAGGCAAGACAATAACATGAGCCCAAGAGTTTGAGATTGCTGTGAACTATGACGCCACAGCACTCTACCGAGGGTGACATAGTGGGACCTTGTCTCAAAAAAAAAAAAAAAAAAGATAAGAGTTGATTTACTTTAGGGGAGGTTCATGAGAAGTTTAGCATTTCATAATAACCTACATAGCCTCAGAGGGTATACTGTATCGGGGTAAAATTTGTAAGTATTGTTCTTGGCACTAGCTGCCTCAGCATTCCCTCTCTGGACTGTTGCTGTTTTATATCCACCGGACAGCGAGATTAACTGACAATGCATCTTGGTGTTATAACTAATAAACACTTGATGCACTATTCTCTGCAGACACGGTCCTGGGCAGAATCTTGTGAGATTGATACAATTGTGTCCATATTTTAGATGAAGAAAGTAAAGCATCATTTTGCCCAAATCATACAAAATTTGAGCCCAGGCAATGTGAGTCCAGAGCTCTTCGCCCTGACCACAGTTTTATGCCTAAATGGTGCCAGGAACATAACAGCAGTTAGTGAATAGATATTATTAATGTTTCTGATTACCATCTGTTTTGCATTGTTACCATCAGTACCATCTCGGAAGGACACATATTTCACTAGCACACCAGAATCAGCCCATCATAAAACATGGACAAAATTGTTTACTTCTTAGTTTTTAAGACTAAAAATCTGGAGCGCTATTGGACCACCAGTGCTTTTTTAGGCCCATCCTTAATTGGCTTGAACCCTGGAGAGATTTCCCCTGACAATCCTTTGAACCAGGATTTTACAGAAGGCTGACCTGATAAACATTCCCTGGACTCTTCTTTAGGCCCCAGTTCTACCCCTATCTGGAACAGCCCCTGGGGAAACTTAGGGAACAAACTAAATTTTTCTTTCATTTTTCTGATGATGCTTTTCTCGCTCATCTTGGTATTAGTGACAAGCCACATATTCTTGATACCTATTGGCATAAAATTAAAATGTCCAGTCCATAAAGTCTCTTACTGGGACAGTCACCCTTTAACAGCATTTGTGAAAGGCACTTTGTGTCACTAAGGTATCTGTATAGTCTTTTCAGTTTAGGAAGTGCTTTATTATCTGTTATTTTCATTTTCATGGCATTTCTCTGAGGGGTAGCCAAGGGGGGTACTGTCTTCATTTCATGGATGAAGAACCTGAGATCAGAAAGATACGTGACTCATCCAGGATCACACAGCCAGGTTATGACAGATCACTGCTTTTTATGATCCTGTGTTCTGCAGCCTCTCTGCTCATGCCCTAAAATGGGGATCAGAACACAGGACTAATCAGAGCTCTGAGGTCAACATTAGGTCCCATCTATTGATGTTGGGGAAATAACTGAACCTCCCCGAATCTTTATTTCTTCATTTGTGAAGTTAGATAATAATAGTACTTTAATTTTTCTATAGGTTCACGTTTATAATCTGTGATTCCCATTTAAACGTACATCACGATTATCTTTCCATGTCAGTAAATATAGGTCTGTGTCATTACTGTTATTGGCTGTGTGCCTTTTCGTTATATTTCTCTACTGCAGTTTACTCCAGTATCCCTTGTTGGTTGTTTGGACAATGCTTGTTTAGAACACTAGAAAGGCTAGCAGATAAGGTCTTTCTAATGTTCTGCTAAAGTTGTATTAATCGTTAGAAGCAAGGTTCAAATCTAGATTATCTGGTTCTAGAGTTTGCACCTGACCACTATCTAGACTAATTCTTACCATCATAAGGGATAAAGTAAAACCTAAAGGGTGTTGGGGTTGTGTAGAACTGGATGCAGAATAGGATACAGTGGCAGTCCAACTGCAACTGAATCTTCTAAAGAAGCCAGAGCTTCAAAGCTCAGGAGGTTGGGGTTAAAAGTGCTCACTGATTAAATGCGCTGTAGCAGTCGTTAAAAATGTACACGAAAAGTTGGAAAAAAGGCTGGGATCTTTTAGGAATGTCTTTGTTCTAAAGTGTTTTTTAAAGAGTGTCAGAAAATTCTATTTTTTTTTCCCTACAGCACTGGGAGGTGTTCAAAAAAGTTACAGAAGTTTTCATTTTAGTTCCTGCACTTCTCGGTCTCAAAGGAAACTTGGAAATGACATTGGCGTCTAGGTTATCTACTGCAGTAAGTTATTTCCTATAGTGTGTATGTTACCTAGACTGTTTCTCTGTTTTAAGGAGACACTGTACCAGGAAAATACATTTTATTTTCTATATATCCAATAAATTTATAAATCTCAGAGGCTATGCTAAGGAGTCATAGTTGACATCATACACTGAGGATCTCAGGGTTGTCAAATCTGAAAAATTAGACCTTCTTATCCTGAAAGGTAATATATTTGCTTTCTTTGATACTGGGACATTCTGGAAATTATAATCACTGCTTACAACATGGGGTAAGTCAGATACTAAGATTCTTTAAGGGCCAGTTGTGGTGGCTCAAGTCTGTAATCCTAGCACTCTAGGAGGCTGAGATGGGTGGATTGCCTGAGCTCACAGGTTCGAGACCAGCCTGAGCCAGAGCAAGATCTCATCTCTAAAAAAAAAATAGCTAGGCATTATGGTGGGTGCCTATAGTCCCAGCTACTTGGGAGGCTGAGGCCAGAAAATCACTTTAGCCCAAGAGTTTGAGATTACTGTGAACTGTGATGCCACAGCACTCTACTGAGGGTGACATAGTGAGATTCTATCTCAAAAAAAAAAAAAAAAGATTCTTTATGGTTTGATGGTTGGTTGGCTGGTATTTAAGCTTTCTTTGATTATAAAAATAAGTATAATAACATGCTTATTGTAAAAACTGATAAAAAATAAACATGTATAAAGAAAAAAATCTAAAACTAGTCCTAATTCTCCACTTAGCCATAATCACTATTAATATTTTATATATACTGTTCTATACCTGCATATTCATAGTATACATGGTTAGGCACATCATAATGTAAATAAACATTGTGTATTCTAAAAAACAACTGGAGTCCTATTATGTTCTCTTTTATAGTCTGTGATTACCATTTAACAGTACATCACAATCACCTTTCCATTTTGGTGAATGTAGATCCATGTCGTTATCAGCTGTGTACTTTTACACGGCTATTATATCACCATATTGCAGTTTATTCCAGGTCTTTCTAATGTTCTGTTATTGTAAACAAAGTTGCCATGAATAGTCTAGTGTATACATTTTCCCATTCTTTTCTTAATTTCTTTGGGGCCGGTTCTAGGGTTGTATTACTGTTCAGAAAAAATAATCTATATGTTATTAGCTACATATTGCTAAATTACCATTCAAAAACATTAACTATTTTTAAAAATGCTCCCACTAGCAGGGCTCTGAGTTATTTTAAGAAGCCCAAAAGGACATTGTTTTCTTATTATAACATTTGTTTGGGGCTTACCACTGTGGAACCAAGTTATGGTTAAAACCACAGAGCTAGTGAGGCACACTTCGCCTCAGATAAGCCATCTGCCCTCTGCATGATAGCCAAAATTTAACTAACTCATCACATAATAATATCAATTTCCATATCTTTAGTAATAAAGTTATTTTTTTAAAAGAAGCCAGAGCAAACGAACCCATCTGTGAACTAGGAAAAAACCCTTTGTGTATCTAAAGGTAATTAAGAAGCTGACCACCTGTGCTGTTGATGGACACACTCTCCCCTCGCTCTCCCCATTTCCTCACCCCCAGGTGAATTTCCTAAGGTTTTTTGAGTGAAAGTAAACGCTTGGAAGGGGAATTCATTAAATAATGTTTTATTAACATTGTTGGTTTGCTTAATTAAGGGAAAAGACTTCATGGCTTCATGTGCCCTATGGAACTTTCTAAGTCCTTTCTTTTTGTAGTATATAAAAGGTCATATATCCTTACTCTGCACGGGACAATAATGAAATATCTGGTACTAGTAAGCTCTCACAATATGCCAGGTACTGTGCTAACTGCTTCAAGGGTGTCTTACAGCAACTCTGTGAGAGGAATACCATTTTACAGAGGAGGAACTGAGGCTTAGGCAGTTGAATAACTCTCCTGAGGACACAGAGGTCTAATGCATAATGGGACAAATTATATCCCAGGATATTCCCTTTACCTGCACAAGGTAACTGTGTCAGAGTTTATAAAACTAATAACAGCAGCCGGGTGCAGTGGCTTATGCCTGTAATCCCAGTTCTGTGGGAGGCTGAAGAGGGAGAATTGCCTGAGCTCAGGAGTTTGAGACTTGCCTGAGCAAGAGTAAGACCCTGACTCCTAAAAAAACGAAAAACCTAGCTGGGTGCCACAGCGAGCGCCTGTAATCCCAGTAGCTTCCAGAGGCTGAGGCAGCAGGATGTCCATAGCCTAAATCTGAGATTGCAGTGAGCTATGACGCCAAACCTAATAGCTGCCTCATTTATCTTATAAGATTGATCTGCTGAGGCCTTGGTCTGAGTGCCAATATGCAATATTTTTGGTACTTAATATTTAAAAATGTTTGATATTCATTATTTAAAAAATATTATTTATAGATATAATACTGTTGCTTTTCCCTGTAGATACTTAGTGAGCTATAGATGGTGTCTGGGGGTATCTGCTAATCACTTAGAGCCAAACTTGGTAGAGTAGAATAACTTTGGCAAATTCACTTTAGTCTATAATCTAGCATGTGGTCATTGTAGCTATTGGCTATGAAAAGGGCTTAAGGGTAATAGAGCTCTGTGGGCTGGAGCAGAAAAGTACAAGATAAACCTGTGAGCCTGGGACATCTTGTGATGACCGAAAGTAAAGTGCTGAAAACAGAAAAACAAGATAAAACAAAAAGATGGAGATATGAGAAGGACAGGGATACATCCTGGCCAGATCTGAGACAATTTGAGTCACACAATGAGTAGTGATAGTTAGAGATTATATACAGATATAACCCATGGAATGAAATAACAATCTATTAGTCTATAAGTGAATAACAAGTCAGGCAAGGTCTCTGCTGTGATGGAATTTATACAAATTCAGATGTCAGTAAGGGCAGTGAAGGAAATCGGTAACTCTGGAATGTGACAAAGGGTGATTCTTGAGGGCTATTTTACATTATGTTGCCAGGGAATACTTCTCTAGATGGTTCATGAGCCGAAACCTGAGTAATAAAAGGGAGTTAGCCCTGTCAAAATCTGAGAAAAGACCATTACAAGTTCTTGTTGTGTTTAATCAGTAATGTCAAATGATTATAAGCGTTTTAGATAGGTCTACCTTAACAGTTGGGCTTTGAGCAGGACTGCAAATGGAGGCCCATATAAAATGTCCAAATTATATAGTTTACAAACTTTAACAAATAGCTCTCTTTCTACTTTGACAAATATATCTTATGAAGATCTGTAAGTTAAGATGAAATTTCAAATTTTTGGATTTCTTGGGTTCTGTTTGGGAATGTGGTGCCATGGAGACAGCCAGCCCCTCTGAAGCCTGTCCCTTCCTCTCCCACTCTTAGCCGTCATGTACACACCCTGAGAGATCTAACACGTGACTCAGGCCCCATGTCCAAGCTGTGTCCATACCCTCAACAAAAAGCCACCCCCGGCACTCCTGGGGTTGGGCCACATTTAATGTTGGCATGGTTCGTCTCCAGGAACACCTACTTGAAGAGCAGGCCTGGAACTGGGCTCCAGGCCATTTGGGCAGGGAACGTTATGTTCCCAGGTGTCTGGAGCATGGCCTAGAAGGGGATGAGGAACAGGCTTCAGCAGTCACACTCCTTGGACCCCATACACATCTCACTTTGTGGGATAGGGCATAGCTAACATAGGCCCAAAATGGAGCCCTCTAAGGCATGGATCTCAGAACTGGAGCCTCTCTTAACAAGATATAGAGAACGATTTTTTTTTTTCCTGAGACAAGGTCTTACTCTGTTCCCTAGGCTAGAGTAGTGGTGTCATCATAGCTCACTGCAACCTTGAACTCCTGGGCTCAAGTGATCTTCTTGCCTCCACCTCCTGAATAGCTGTGGCTACAGGTGCAGGCCACCAGGCCTGGCTAACTTTTCTAGTTTTTATAAAGACAGAGTTTTGCTATGTTGTTCAGGCTGGGATATAGAGTACTATTGATTCTAGATTCCAGGAGTGAAAATTTCTTTTAGATTAAGGAAAGTTACATGATGTAAAAGAGGTTTTGAAAACTGCCTTGTGATATATATAAGATAATAAAACAAGATAGAAGAGCAGTTATATTATATATTGAAAAGGTTGCTTAAACAAAAGAGCCTTAATATCGTATTCTGCAGGTAACAATATCAACATAACAGGACTTACTAAGCAATAACCAGTGGTTGTTTGCAGAGAAAGCAGTTCTTTCACTGGAGCCTTCTAAAATAGCCAAATGGATGTGTCTTGAAGCATACAAGTTTTTATTGCATATAGCTGATGTAAAAATCCCATCATTCTGCTCTTGAGAAGATGCAGAAATTGGCACAGAGAATAATAGCTGACACACAGATGGAAATTTATAACTTCTTTTGTTACCTTGAGAGCCAGTTACATTGCTCCATTTTCACACTTTTAGATCCAAGGTTTAAGGATATATATATTTTTTTCAAGTGATTAATTATGTAAAGCAGTAAGTGCACTTCAAAATATAAAATAAAAAATGTAAGTTATTGCAACAATCTTAGACTCATCTGGAAATATTTAGAAAGCATCATCATCAAACAACACTTACATCTTCAGTTTATGAAATTATTTTAATAAAATTATATCATTATTATCAGCCAAATCTTCAAAGCTAGGAATTGGAGACAAATCTTTTTCTTTTTTTTTTTTTTTTTTTTTTTTTGAGACGGAGCCTCAAGCTATCCCCCTGGGTAGAGTGCCATGGCATCACGCTCACAGCAACCTCCAACTCCTGGGCTCAAGTGAGTCTCCTGCCTCATCCTCCCAAGTAGCTGGGACTACAGGTGCCCGCCACAGCGCCTGGCCATTTTTTGGTTGCAGCCATCTTGTACCGGGCCCGGGCTGGGGATTCAAACCCGCCACCTTAGGTGTATGTGGCTGGTGCCTTAGCTGCTTGAGCCACAGGCGCCCAGCCTGGAGACAAATCTTTTACTAATTATTATATGATCAGAAAGAAAGCCTAATAATTTAGTTATACCATCATTTTCAACAGTATATAGACTGGCAAATCTAGCCAAAAACAATCTTGACTCTCTAATGACTTGTTTAAAACTTAAGGCTGGGCACTGTGGCTCACATTTAGAATCCTAGTACTTTGGTTGGCTGAGGTGGGAGGGATCCCTTGAGCCCAATAGTTTGAGATTGGCCTGAGCAATGTAGTGAAACCCTGTCTCTACAAAAAATGGGTAAATTAGCCAGACATGGTGGAGGGCACCTATAGTCCCACTACTTGGGTGGCTGAGCCAGGAGGATTTCTTCAGCCAACGAATTTGAGATGGTAGTGAGCTATGGTGATGCCACTATACTCCAGTCCAGGCAACAGAGCAACACTTTGTCTCAAAATAAAAATAATAATAATTAAAAAAATTAAAAGTAAATAAAAAGTAGTTATATAGTATTACAAATATGAAATATAGTAACCATAGGATCAATCCAGTAGCTTGCATGGCTAAAAAATTATTTAACAAATCTATTAATGAAGTTATAAATTATTTAAATTTTTATTGCATTTCATATTCTTATATCTCAGTAGTTTGTTATAAAATGGAGACATTTGGTGTCAGCCAAATGTCGATTTCAACACTTGACCATTTGGCATCCAGCTGGGATGTACGTCAAGTACACTTCTAGCTTTGATCTTTAGAAAGAAAAAGCGAAAAAACCTTTTATGTAGTCTGAGTCTTTGAGAATTAGCAAAACTATGTGCATGTGTTCCATCTCCCATCTTTCCCCACTTGCATTATCTTATAAGAGTTGGTGGGCTGCCTAGGTAGGACTCAATCCAAGAGGTTTTTTGGCAGGAGAGGAGAATAAAGAAGAGGTCTTGAAAAACAGAAGTGACCACATTTGAGAGAGAAGCAAGTTAGAGGATGGGAGTTAAAAGGTGGCTTTGGTTTCATTTGTTGGAAAATGAACTTTGATCTGATAAATACAGTTAAGCATACAAACATTTAAGCAACTTGATAACTTTGCCAGGAAAAGTGAAATTTTGACTAACTTACCTCAAAGAAAATATTTCAAAACCACTATTCCTGAGCATTATCCAGCATTTATTTAAATTCAAATAATAGATGAAATATGCCAATCCATTTGGAAATAGGCCATGCTATAGGGAATCTGGTTAAAAAGAGAATGTGCTCCAAATGAAATTTGCTGTTCAGTTTGATTATATATTACCATTAAAATTGAATAAAGGTGAATGTAATCTTAATCTTTTTTAGCTTTATTTGTTAGGGTGTCCATATTTGTTCTAGGCATTTTTCTCAAATGTCTATTTATGTGCATTTGTCTGTTCCTATTTAATTCCAAAGCTGATAGAAGCTCAGCTCATGGGAAGAGCTTACCCACTGTGGTCTCCACTGTAAGGGGATCTAACTGCACCTTTCTCTGGGGACGTGAAGATGTGATTGTTATCTTCCATACATCTAGAGTTATGCCACTGAGAAGAAGATACTTCAGTCATAAACGGAAGGAAATGAAAAGTGAGGCTTTGAGGGTATTTGATATGGGAATGTTCCAGGCGATGAGGAAAGGGTCATGGGAAAGACCTCCGTTTTCTGATCAGTGGTACCAAGAACTTGTTAGAGATTAATTCTTGCCCCCACTCCAAAGCTAATCAACTTGAAACTCTGGGGTTGTGGTTCAGCAATCTATGTTCTAACAGTCTCTCCAGATGATTCTGATACACATTGAAGTTTGAAAACCACTGTGTTAGATGAACAGCATAGAGGCCAGTAGGGCTGAGACCAGGTGTGGGAGAGGAGAATTTTTAGGGGATGATTTTAGTGAATAACCAGAGGCTGGAATTCATCGAGCTTTATAGACCATTATAAGGACGTTGGTTATTTTGTGAGATGAGAGACATTAGAAGGTCTTGAATGGAGGAGTGATAGGTATTTTTTAACAGGTTCTTTTTGACTGTGTTGAGACATGAGTATAGACCTCAGAGGACTGAAGCAGGGAGACCTTTTGGGAGTCTGTTGCAATAATATAGGTTGGAGATGATGTTGGTCTGGATCAAGGTGGTAACAGTGGATGTAGTGAGAGGTCGCTGGAGTCCACAACTAATTTTCAGGGAGAGCCTACAGAATTGGCTGGTAGATTAGGTGAAATTCAAGACAAGGAGTGGCCACTCAAAATTCTCTCCGGATCTGAGATGGGTAAAAGTGAGCAAATTAGTAGATAGTAAAGTAGTAACTACCACCACAAGCAAGATAATGAGCAGATGCCTCACCTCTGTATATCCAGCAAGATATTTGTGTTTGTGTGTTTTAGTGGATTATGTTTTATTATAAAATATTTCAAGTATATAAAAATATATATATAATGTGGTTCCTAATTCCAGTTAATGATAGAATGAAGTAATCTCCTAGAGATGAACAATTACAAAATCTAGACAGACTATTTGAAGGCAATGGAAAGTGATCAAAAGTAGATAGAATGTAGGGTTTGCTCTTAAAAGCTATAATTACAATGGGTAATAATTGCAAAGTTTGTGATGTTTTTGCCTGAGGAAGTTCTCCTGTCCCTAGATCTCATGTGGCAGGAAACTTACAGTCAAGGTGGCAGAAGACAGAGCTCAGAGCTGGCAGAGTAGCTTGAAATTTAGGGAGGAAAATCTGAACATACAGAAAAAGGCAAGACTAAAAATCTGAGTATAAGATCTGCTCAAATCTTTGGCTACTAAAGCTGAGGAATGTAGCTGTAGGCCTTAAAAGGGACGAGTGGTGATGGTAGCTAGTAAATCTGGCACAGTTGCAAACCGGATTCATAGCACCCATTCATTCTGTCACTCCCACCTTTCTGGATCTTTTCCTGTGCCCTAATGTATTTATATATGTCTCCATTGGTCATTAAGCAACCCTGGAGTCTTTATGTCTCGTACTTTCTCATGGAATTATTTTAGATTGCTTCCTATAGCTATAGGCATTTTTCTAAGAGTTATTTAAAAATAATGCTGATTTTATTCAGACTCATTTCTCGAACTTTAAACCAGAGGTAGGTTCATTCTTTCAACATTGCTTGTACCTTATTACTCACTTGAGCAAAGCCCTAGGTCGTTAGAGCTACAAATATGAATTTCATCAATAATGTAGATTTCTAAGCTTAGGAGAGAAATATATCCATAATGACTCCATGAATAGTTATTCTGACACAGTGATAAATCTCCATATTTGCAGTTGCTGAGACTAAAGTCCAGAGTGAGATTGCAGAATAGAATCTGTTTTCCCAACTGACAGAAGAAATGATAATGTAGCATTTAACCTGCTGGTCTGAAGCCAGCGAGCTAACCTCTTAGTCTGTTCATGGTTAAAATTACACAGAGGTAACAACTCTTAGGTACCTCTCTCTTTATGGATTCCCCTTTAGACTTTTTTTTTTTAGATTTGAAAATCTTCCATGACCAAGAAGATGACAAAAAAAATTTGAAACAGAACTCAATATAGTATTTTTTACTAATGATTATTCATTGCTTTCCCAAAAAGTACAATAGAAAAACTTGGCAGATTGGATACAGTTTTTTGAATCCTAAGTGGTTGAGAAATATGATTTCGCTTCCAGAGCAGTTTCAGATGTGTGAATAATATTATTTTAGAGCATATTCTTCTATTTAGCAGAAAGTGCTTACAATTAACTAGTTGAGGTGCATGATCAGAATTTATTTGTGAACTGAAAGAATTCTATTGCTAATAGTTTTTGTCTTGACTCAAATATAAATTACGTACATATGAATGATTTATTTATATCTTGATCTTTTGGGGTCAACAGTTCTTCAAGTTAGATTAGTTTGATGATGCAGAATTAAATGCTAGCAGTTCAAAATTGTGCAATTATTCATAGTGGGCCTTAGTATACAAAATTTGTTGTGTTAGGATGATACCTGATGATGTTAGTTGTAAGATAACATCGGTAAGTAGGTGAATCACACTAACTGGTCCACTAGTTCTTGTAAGATAGTTAAGTAAACAAAAACATTTTTTTTCTAAACATTTCAGGCAAATTAAGTGTTAGGTGCCAAACTGGGAGTGAATTCAGAATTACACATATGTTCAAAGTACAATGCGAGCGCATCAGATTTACCGAAGACATTAATTTGAGAATTCATGTGCTGTTTAAATAGAACGGAAAGCTTACTGATTATTCATTAATACATGAAAATGTCTACCTTAACAGGTAAATATTGGAAAGATGGATTCACCCATTGAAAAGTGGAATCTAATAATTGGCAACTTGGCTTTAAAACAGGTAAGTGGTACACATTTATTTTATTATTTTTTTTTTACAGATACTACCTACTGAACTTACAGGTCTTGGGTATCACCTGTAAGATGGGCATAATTTTAGTACTATAAGTTTATCATTTAATTGTTTCAGGAAACACCAAAATGATAATTTAGCACCTTGAAAAAATTAATGGAATAAATGGATACCCATAATCTCTGAAAGTTTTTCTAAATAGGAAAAATATATAATACACAAAACATGGAATAAATACACAAAATATTTCCTACCATAAGTGCATTTTAGGCAAGGCACAGTGGCTCACTCCTGTAGTCCTAGCACTCTGGGAGGCTCAGGCAGAAGGATGGCTCAAGGTCAGGAGTTTGAGACCAGCCCGAGCAAAATCAAAACCTTGTCTCTACAAAAAAACAGAAGAAAGTGGCTGGGCCTGGTGACACACACACCTGTTGTCCCAGCTACTCGGAAGGCTGAGGCAGGAGCATTGCTTGAACCAAGGAGTTGGAGGTTGCAGTGAGCTGTGATTAGCCACTGCACTCAGCCTAGGTGATGGAGCATGACTCTGTATCTCCCTTTCCCCCCTAAAAAAGTGTGGTAGAGCCTGAATTTGTATTAGTATCTGTACAAATAAATATTTAACAGTTTATTGTTTAAGTGTTATTTTTCTGCTTAAAAAGTAAATTATTTGTTTAATTAAACTAAGTCTGGGCGGTGCCTATGGTTCAGTGGGTAAGGGCATCAGCCCCATATACTGAGGGTGGCAGGTTCAAACCCGGCCCTGGCCAAACTGCAACAAGAAAAATAGCCAGGCGTTCTGGCAGATGCCTGTAGTCCCAGCTACTCAGGAGGCTGAGGCAAGAGAATTGCCTAAGCCCAGGAGTTGGAGGTTGCTGTGAGCTATGATGCGACAGCACTCTACTGAGGGCAATAAAGTGAGACTCTGTCTCTAAGAAAAATAAACTGAGCTCTAGTCTATATATTATGGTCAGTCATTTGTTTACGTTGAGTTTTTGTTAATTTGTTAGTTACTAGTGTTGATGTAAACCATTAAATGACCAATTATGTGTGCACTACACTATGGCTTGTGTATAGTCTACTACTCTTTCTAATCTCAGGTATCTCTTCATCCTCAGACAGAAGACTGCAGCTACCCTTAGTAATTCTCCAGCTAGGGTGATCTTAGGGAATGCACACTAATTTTGGCATTAGCTCAACTAGGACATAATATAGAGAACATGATTGCAGGAACATAATTTCACACGTATTCAAAGTGCAATGTGGGCTTATCAGATTTACTAAAGACGTTAAGACTTCTTGTGCTATTTAAATAGAGCAGAAAGCTTACAGATTATTCAGTGATACAAGAAAATGTCTACCTCTCATATAATGTATCTCAAGGACAAAGAAATAAAGGAATTTTAAAAATACCTGTGTAATTGCTTCTAACATCACAGATCTGGAAATAAGAAAATCTGGAATATGACTTCAGCTCTACATTAACCTTTGTTAATTTACTTAACTTTTCTGGGTTTCTCTTTCCTCTTTTAAATCATAGCGTCACATAAGAGATGTTTACAATTCTTTTCACCTTTGGTAGCCATAGCACAGTGGTTACAGCGCTAGCCACATACACCAAAGTTGGCGGGTTTGAACCCAGCCCGGGCCAGCTAACCAACAATGAGAACTGCAACAAAAAATAGCCGAGTGGTGTGGTGAGCACCTGTAGTCCCAGCTACTTGGGAGACTGAGCCCAAGAGTTTGAGATTGCTGTGAGCTGTGAGACCATGGCACTCTACCGAGGGTGACAGTGACACTGTGTCTCAAAAAAAAAAAAAAAAGATTCTTTTCAGCTTGAAATCGCAGGGATAATAATCAAAATATTTAGCAGCCCTAGTGTACTATGAATAATCAATAAAATAACAATGGGCGGCACCTATGGCTTGAAGGAGTAGGATGCCTGCCCCATATGCTAGAGGTGGCGGATTCAAACCCAGCCCCGGCCAAAAACTCCCAAAAAGGAAAAAAAATAACAATTTGAAAATATACTTCATTTTATTCTTTAAAAACCTTGAACTCTTACAAAGTAATATGAGTTGTAGTATAAAGTATTCATCAAGTTGTTGTAATAATCACCATCTCAGCTTTTAATTCTTCCTCCAACTTTTAGTCTTCACTCTTCCCCATTATCCTCTCTCCCTGCAACTGTCGGTCAGGATGGCAGCCAGACATGGCTGAGGATTCATTGATCCTAGTTGCCATAGCCAGAAGTATGTGTCTTTATCTGCCTCGCTCCACCAAGGACGTATGAAGAACAGGGAACTCCAGGAAGGCCCATCAGGACACAACTGGTGGCAGCCAGTGAGGCAGCCATTGGTTGGAACTCAGTTCCCAGTAGATAAGAGCATGAAACAAGGAAGCTGGAAGGGTAGGAGTCGGGGTCGGGGAGAGGTTATTCCCTCTCTGAGGCTCCATCTGACAAAGCTTGTGAGGGAGTAGATGATGTGGGGAGGGGCTTTAAGGCTCCTCCACTAGAGACCGGCAATGGATGGAGGTAGAGCGGGGAAGGATGGAGGAAGCTCACACTCCCACTTACCGGGGATGTGCTTTGCTGCCTGTTACATGGGCTTCCAGTGAGCTCCGTGTCACAGACTTCTTCATGATTACACACAGCAGCCACCCCCACCCGTGCATAAGAAGTTCAGTGAAGCCAAGTCCCATCCCATCTGAGGAACCATTACTTCATCAGAGTGATGTGTCCTGTACCAGCATCTATTTAGGCCTGTGCTTCCTATTCACCTCCCCAGCTACTACTTTGACCTAGACTTTGCTCTCTCTTGGGCACAATTAGTCATTTTTCAATGAGTCATTCTTTTACTGGCATATAGAACAAGACTTCCTCATCCCAACTGCGTAGCTTCCATTTTTTCAGAAATAGATGGATAGATGCATTTATGCTCATGCGCGTACCAGGATGTCTGCAGCAGGCGCTTGAGCTCTGTGTTCAGGTGTCAAACCAGCAAAGACTTGGAATCACAGTACTAGAATTTATACTAGGACAGTATTGCTGGAAAGTATTACTGGGCTATGTGCTAACCAGTACGAAAATAGTGAAATATTTCGGCAACTGCTGCAGCCCTAACAGTGCTTATGGCATGAGTCTCAGCTCTGAATCTGTGGGGGACACAAGAGGAGCTATAATGCAAGACCATGGGGCTACAGTCCAGGACATTTCAAGTCGTTAGTCCTTGCTTTCCTGTTCTTCTACACTATGACAAGGTCACACTGTAGGACTTTTTCACCCGGACCACTGGCTTCTGGTACATAGATGGGCCTTAGAGAGTTGGTGAGCACCTAGAAATTTTACTCCAAATATTGAGTGCCACTGTGTTTTTTCTAGAAGAAAGGATCTTTATTATATAAAGTTTTTACCAGATTGTCAAAGGAATCCATAACACAAACACAGCTAAGAATCAGTGGGACAGACAACGTCTTTAGGATTTCTTTTAGTTCTGACCTTCTGTTAATCTGAGCTTGCAGTCCATGTGACTTTCCTCAGTTGCAGGTTTTTTGAGTGTTGCTTTGTGTCAGCACTGTTGAATGTACTTTATATATTTATATAATTAATTTCAATCTCAAAGTTGGATATTATCATTGTTAGTTTAAAGATTAGGAAACTGAAATTACCATAGCACTAATCATGTTTGTGATTATTTGTGAGGTTATTTTTGAACATCTGTTTCTCCCAGTGACCAAGAGCTTTCTGAGGACAGGGAATAAATCTGTTTTTCACCACTGTTATAGCACAACATCAAGCATAGCACATTGTACATAGTAGAATCTAAATAAATACTCATTGGGTGTGATTGTACACACCTGTAGTCCCAGCTTCTCAGGAGGCTGAGGCAAGAGGATCACTCAAACTCAAGAGTTTGACATTGCTGTGAGCTGTGACACCATGGCACTCTACCCAGGGTGACAAAGTGAGACTCTGTCTCAAAATAAATAAACACTCATTGAATGAATGAACTTAAATAACTTGCTACAGGGTGATGGATCCAGGATTCAAACTCCCATCATTCAATTATAAAATCTAACCTCTTGCCAACGCTGCCTCTAAAGTCAGATTTCAGATGTGCGGATTGGGTACTGCTCAGACTGAAGGTGGTGTTTTAGATGATCTGTGGATTATGCCATCAGAATCACTTGGGGTGCTTGTTAAAAACAAACTCCTAGACCCCGTTCCATTCTTATTACCACCAGATAAGGGCAGTAGGAGAACCCACCATCTTAGGGAATATTAAAACTAAAATCTAGTAGCTACTCTGAAATGTAATGCAGCTCAATTACCATATGCAGTATTGTTTTTGACTTTTTAATCTATGATATTTATATAATCAAAATTTTAAAATGCTTTTAAAATGGAGAATTCAGTTAGGTTTTGTAAAAATTCTTTTAGGTTCAGGCAACAGTAGTTGGTTTTCTGGCAGCTGTGGCAGCAATCATCCTGGGCTGGATTCCAGAAGGAAAGTACTACCTTGATCATTCCATACTTCTGTGCTCCAGCAGTGTAGCAACTGCCTTCATTGCGTCTCTTCTGCAGGGTAAGTGAATTTATAGATGTCTCCTCTACAGCCTTGTATTTTTTAATTATTTATTTCTCAAGATGACTTTTACCTACGTTATTTAAATGATACTTATAGTGAAAACAACAGAAAAAAAAAGTTGTCTACAAACTTCAAAAATAACCTTAATTATTCCAGATCTATTTGTTTCTTTATTTATAAACCTCATTGTAGAATAGGGTTTTCTGAGATTGTCTCTTGGCCTTAGATGCTCTGGTATAGTTCCCAACAGAGACCAGGAAGATAGCCCAGACATTCATTTGTTTCTGTAAGTTCAATTAATTGAGAAACTCCTTTCTGGAAACCTTGCAGCAGGGGATTTACTGGCTTGTCACTTGAGTAACAACAAATGTTCCAGGAATTCTGAGTTTCAAAAGCAGTCCCTCTGTGAAAAAAGTTTTAAGTTTCAGATTCCAAAAACAGTTTCTTCCCTGTTTCTGTGGCAATACAAATATATTAAGACACCATATTGTTGGCTGTGGAATTTTAAAGAGCCAGGAGGTTTTAAAGATTAACTTCTTTTTAAGTGGACTTTCTTTGTATTTATTTATTAATATGATCTTTGTACTAGATCATTAGGTTCTTATGGAATCCTAATTATAAAGACTTGGCTATTTTTATTTTATAATTGCTATCTTTTCACCCCACATCACTTTTTTTTTTCTTAGATTCTGGGAATTTAAGGAATCTTACTAAAATTAAGACCTGACTGCCAAAGTATTTTCAAGCATTTTGTTTTAGTACTTAAATTATATTGGGGATAGTTTTTTATCCTTATATAGAATCAAATAGAGTTAACTCTGGCCAAAGTGCAGTGAAGTTAAGCTACTGGAAAATTAAATTTCTAGATAAAAAAAATTTTTTTTGGCATCAGCAGTCTTTTTTTTTTAGACTCTTTGTTTCTGTTTTCTTTCTAATTTTATTTAATTTAGAAAGTGTTGTTTAAAATTTTTCAGTCTAATAAGTATTTGAAATACCCAGGCTTTTCAAAACTACAAAAATTCAGATTTTTGAAATATATTTGTTTAAAACTTCTTACTTTGTGGCAGCGCCTGTGGCCCCGTGGGTAGGGTGCCAGCCGCATGTACCAAGGGTGGTAGGATCGAGCCCAGCCCCAGCCAAACTGCAACAAAAAAATAGCCGGTTGCTGTGGCGGACGCCTGTAGTCCCAGCTACTCAGGAGGCTGAGGCAAGAGAATCAACTAAGCCCAGGAGTTAGAGGTTGCCGTGAGCTGTGATGCTATGGCACTCTACCGAGGGTGACAAAGTAAGATTCTGTCTCTAAAAAACAAAAAAACCAAACTTCTTACCTTGAATAATGGGTGTTCTAAGTTTAACCATGGTAATGTATAAAGCAGATGCTATTAACCACATTTCATAGGTAAGAAATCTGACTTGTCCAATTCTATCAGTTGTTAGCAGCAGAACCAGAAGTGTAAGTCAAGTTTCCTGACTCCTGGCTTTTTCCACTGGACCACAATCCATACAAAATATTTGTTGTCAGCTGAAAAGATGCAGATGGCACCGTGTATAGACAAACTTCCCATATAAATCTTTAAATATGCTGATTTTGGGAGAAGAACTCTATACAGGCACATCTTGTTTAAACTTCTGTGCTGCTGCTTTTTTAATTTTTTACAATAATATTATGGGAAAGCCAAGTCTAGTGATTGAAAAGGCCTCTAGAATATTAAGAGGTGAGGCATAGTTTGATGCAGGACAAAAATTCTACTTTTTAAATTTTTGGCTTTTTGGAATACGGTAAAAAACACTGAGCTAGAGTCACTTACAAACTATGTGATCATAGGCAAGAATTTAAACCCTACTCCCCAGAAGCTCATTTTTATTATAGATAAAATGAATATGCTGGAACAAAACCATTTAGACTCATTTTTATTCTAAACGTGGAGTGAGATTCTGTTCATTTTTTCCCATAGCTGTATTTCAGGTTTCCATATTGATTTACAGTTAGCATATAAATAAACCAAACATTTAAACTTTTCTTTGCATCCTTTTAATAAACGGGTTGGCATGAGAAAATCTATATAATTGGGTGTGCATATAAATTTTATCATCTTTCTCCAATTTGTGTGATTCAAGAAGACAAGGACAGAAAAACATAAGTATTAAATACATAGTCAACATTCATCTTTTATTCTCTTGTAGTTTGTAGACAGAAACTTTGAGTTTAAAGAATATTTTTTATGAAGACTATTTCTCGTGTTTAAACCTTCAGTGTTTGCAATTTAATTATGTCCCACTTCTTAACGCTTTTAAATAAGAAAATGAAGCAAGTATTCGTAGTTGCCAAATATGAACAAATCTGTTTTTGTTGGTCCTCTTCCCAGTTGCTATGCATATAAATATGACTCACCTTTTTTGATGTTTTCATACTTGATTTGAGGGTTAAAATTAAAATCTTTGGGTTTGATATACACAAAAACAATATGTTAAAGATATACATATCACTAAATTTAAAATTTCAGTATGAACGTTATTTTAGTAGTTTTCAAGTCTCTTAAGCGCAACACTAAACTTCTTAAATCTTCTATGATCCCCACTTTGAGTTTGTTGAAAGGCATCGCCAGAGCCTCAGGGTAAAATGTTTTGTTTGCTTTAGTCAGTTTATCCAAGCAATCTAACTGAAACTGATAATACTGTTTGTCTATCCTACATATTTTGGTTTTGGGGGGATTGATTGCCTTTAAATAATAGCATACAAAGCAATGAACATTCTTTTTTCTAGGAATAATAATGGTTGGAGTTATCGTTGGTTCAAAGAAGACTGGTATAAATCCTGATAATGTTGCTACGCCCATTGCTGCTAGTTTTGGTGACCTTATAACTCTTGCCATATTGGCTTGGATAAGTCAGGGTTTGTACTCTTGTCTCGGTAAGTTGACTTGAAAGTAAATATTGAATGTTATTCATATTCTTTTAAAATAAATAACTGTTGCGGCAATGTCATGAGTCCATGGTGATCTTCAACTGTATTGGAACTCTTATTGAGACTGATTAGAATGATAATTATTGTTTGTGGTACATCTACTATGTGTTGTGGTTCTCATATATTTTTCTCCTCTCGTAGAGTTTAAAACTTTGTAAGAGAAGGATTATTCCTAATTTAATTGAGAGAACTAAGGATCGTAGAAATTATATATGTGACTCAACACAGCTACTGGTGGAAAGGTTGAACACAGGTCTATTATACTCTGTAATTTCTGCTCTTTACTATACATGTGCAGCCGGCTAGGAGTCAACCTACAATACTCTGTTATGTGTGTTGAACTAACTTCTCAGAATATAAGGTTATTGTGGGATTTGAAATTTCCCAATGGGATATTTTTTCCCCATCAGATACTACACCACTAAGTAGCTTCTTGGCAGTTAACAAAAAGAAAAAAGTCCTTGTGAAAATAAGCCTGAAAGCTATGTGTAGTTGGAGTCATGTATGTAATTCCTGATAAATAGTGATAGAGCATTTACTGAATCTAATGAATTTGTACTCGGAGACTCCTGTCGATGGTAAAGTAATATGATTTGTGAGCAGTTTTCATTGTGGTTCTTTTTCTTTCACTTTTTATGATGCCAAACTAAAAAAAAGAGAGAGATAGAAAATAGAAATGCAAAGTAATACAAGGGAAAAAAAGATAGTCTAAGCCAAGTCAGAGGCAAACATTTATTCACATATCCTCAATTATTTTGATGAATTTTATACAGATTCTTGGTATACTTTAAAATAAATCTAAAGTACATTTGGTTTGAAGAAGGGTCTCAACTATGTGTTCTCAAAATAAAGGGCTTTAATCTAACAAACGCAATAATTTTCTACAACTTTTGAAACTATCAAGGGAAGCTTCATTTAGTATATAAAATTACCTTAAATTATTTAGCATGTGGCATAAAGACAATATTTAATATGCCTTGTTATGTCTGCTCAAGGATAATTTTTCTCATTTAGAAGATAAAGGTGCATCCACATAAAGCAAGGTATAAGATAATAAATGACTGTCATCCAATATACAAGGAATAATACATGTTTTATCATATTCACATATTCAGGGTAATGGTTCTCTTTCTCAAAAACTCAAAAAGAACACAGAAAACGAAAATTACGTTACCAAAGGGATAATCTTAAATGTGCTCTAATTTATATTGTTAGGGTGATAAATTGGTTATACTCTTTTTCCTTCTCTAAATTATTATACAATTTAGAAATAGATGCCAAAGACAGGGATTGAAATATTAGCCTATGGCTAGTATTAGAAAGTGCACCTTCAGAGTATTCTTCTTCTACTCTATTAAACTCACCACCACTATAGACAGACAGCTGGATAATTTACAGTTCTCACTGAATAAGGACAGGCTGTTAACTCCAATGGAGAAGGGACAGTGTCATCAAAAGGCTGGATCCCCAAAGAGAAAGCCAGTAAGGGCGTGAGTTAGTGCCCCTTTCCCTTGTCTTCCCAATTAGATAAGTCTCTCCTACTTTAAGGATGAGGTTAGGAGAAGAAAGAGGAATAGAAGACAATGGGATTTCTTCCCAATATTATTAAGAGAACAGAAATTCTGTAGGTTTGCCCAGGAACATACAGAGGTTAAGCATAGGGATGAAGGGTTAGTAGTGGTTCTGGGATGATTCCCCTATACTCATAGAAAGGAAAGATATATTATTTTCAGACTTGAGTATTGGAATTACCATTAAGTCTTTTATAACACATTTCTCAGTTGCTTGCTAAATATCAGGTGTCTCATCAACTGAAGACACAGTGGTAAGAAAGTAAGAAAGAGAATGCCATTGAAGAATGCCACCATAATAAATATTGAAACTGTTATACCGATACAGACTAAATACTATGAGATTCTAGGAGATAAACTGGTGAGGAAAATAATGTGTGCTGACTTTTAAAATTTTATTATTTTAATTATACAGGTGGTAATCTCTTATAAAAGACTTGATCATAATGTGTTACTAGATAAAGCTTTTAGAATTTTGAATGTTATATCATGATGCATTAATAGTTTAACTGGGTCGAGAAATAAAGAAGTGCAATAGAATGTTACTATCACAAGCCATAATTCTGAAAAGTAATGCTATTATTAAATATTGCTTAGGATTTTCTAGGCCTTTGTCTTCTGAAAGTTGGCTCGAAGTAATTCCAGATGAATTATTCAAAGTAGGATCTTTTACATTTCATCTGATCATTGATTCCCCTAAGGATATTTTTTACTGTGCTACAAATTGATTCTCTAGTTAATTTAACAGATAAAGGTGCTTCTGGAGCCTGTGTGTAGACTGCTAACGTGTCTGTATTTTGGACACTAGGGGGCCTCATAAGATCAGCAATTGGATGCTTATATTTTTATTCTGAATATAAAGATTAGGAAGAGGCATATTTAAATTTCAAGACCTGGTTCATGCTGCTGAGAAGCCTGGCTCTTGGAAACAAATTCCTGAACTATATTAAAAACACTTAGCAGTTTTAAGAGATAAAAAAGAAATGTCATGGTAGCTATAGGCTTTGATTTATAGAGGCCATGTGTTACATTTCTCTCAAATAATTAGACATAAAGTCTCATGGGATCAATTCAAGAAGACAAAACAATTGTAAATATATATGCACACACTGGAGCACCTAAATATATGAGGCAATTATTAATAGATCAGAAGGGAGAAATAGCCACATAATAATAGTAGGGGACTTTAATACCCCATTTTCAGCAATGGATAGATCATCCAGACAGAAAATCATTAAGGAAACATTGGACTTGGGCTGCACTTTAGATCAAATGGACTTAATACATATATACAAAATATTTTATTAAACGGCAGCAGGATACACATTCCTTTCAAACTCACGTTATCCAGGATATATCATGTTAGGCCACAAGATAAGACTTAACAAATAAGACTTTAAGAAGATTGAAGAAGGAGATTGAAATCTAAGAAGACTGAAGTCATATCAAGTGTTTTTTTTTCTGAATACGATGGTATGAAACTAGAAATCAATAATAGGAAGAAAACCAGATTCACAAATATATGGAAATTAAACAACATGCTCCTAAATAACCAGTAGGTCAAAGAAGAAAATGTAAACTCAATATACCAAAACATAAGGGATGCAGAAAAGGCAGTTCTAAGAATGAAGTTTATAGCAATAAGTGCCTACATTTAGAAAGAAAAAAGATCTAAACCCAACATAATACCTCAAGGAATTAGAATTGAATCCAAAGTTAGCAGAAGGAAGGAAATAATAAAGATTAGAGCAGAAAGAAATAGACGAGAAAATAGAAAAACTAAAGACTATGTCAATAAAACTAAAAGCTGTTTTTATGCAAAAACAAAATAGACAAAGCCTTAGACTAGGAGTGTCTGACTTGCAGCCCCCAGGGCTCATGCTGATTTTATAAGGACTTTTTATTGCACATCTGTAGTTTTGGATATCATAGAAACTATGCACACGGCCAGGCGTAGTGGCTCATGCCTGTAATCCTAGCACTCTGGGAGGTCAAAATGGTGGATTGCCTGAGCTCACAGGTTTGAGACCAGCCTGAGCAAGTGCGAGACCCCATCTCTAAAAAAGAGCCAGGTGTTGTGGCAGGCACCTGTAGTCCCAGCTACTTGGGAGACTGACACAAGAGAATCACTTGAGCCCAGAAGTTTAAGGTTGCTGTAAGCTATGATGCCACACTGTACTCTACCAAGGGCGACAAAGTGATGCTCTATCTCAAAATAAATAAAGTATGCACAGACATTTCTTTTGCTAATCAGCTTTCCTTAGTGTTTGTTTATTTTGTGTGGCCTAAGCCAACTCTTATTCTTCCAGTGTACTGGCAAAGAAAAAAGATTGGGCACCCCTGGCTTAGGCTAACCCAGAAAAGAGAGAAGACTCAAATAAAATCAGAAATGAAAGTGGAGACATTACAATGGATACCTCAGAAATAATAAAAGATTATGAGTCACTGTTATGAACAATGTTATGTCAACAAATTAGATAACCTAGAGGAAATCCATTTTTAGAAACATACACCTACTAAAATCAAATCAGGAGGAAATAGAAAGTCTGCACAGACCAGTAACTAATGGAGAAATTGAAGTAGTAATTAAAAACCTCACAACAAAGAAAAGCCCAGAAGCAGATGGCTTCATGGCTGAATTCTACCAAACACTCAAAGAATTTGTACCAGTCCTTCTTAAACTCTTCTAAAGAACAGAACTAGAGGGAACACTTCCTAACTTATTTTCAGAGGCCTGAGCATCATCTTGATACCAAAGGCAGACAAAGACACCATAAGAAAACTATAGGCCAATATCTCTGGTGAACATAGCTGTAAAAATTCTCAAATACTAGCAAACTGAATTCAACAATATATCAAAAATATTATACATTTTGACTATATAGGATTCATCCCTCCGAGGCAAGTTTGGTTTACCATATGCAAATAAAGGAGGAGGGGAGATTGAGAGGAAAGTGAGGGAAGAAAAACTACCCATAGGTGCAATGTATACTATTTGGGTGACAAGTTCACTAAAAATGTAGACATCACCACTATACATTCATCCATGTAATCAAAACCCATTTGTACCTCTAAGTCTATAAGGGGGAAAAAACCAACAAAATGTAGAACACATCTTAAACTTAAAGTAATTATATAATATTTATATGCAAGAGTAATTATATATCTGTGATTATATATAAAAGTAATTATATATATATGCAAGTTGATCAATGTGATACACCACGGTGTGATGAGTAAAACACTTAGGAGTAAATTTAATCAAGGAGGTGAAATATGTCTGCAATAAAACTATAAAATATTAATGAAAGAAATTGAGGATAACACAAATAAATGGAAAGATATCCTACATTCATTGATTAGAAGAATTAGTGT